TGTTGTTTGTTCAAAAAATCCACGTTCAAAAAAATCCACTTTCTAAATGTCTCAGAACTTCCATAATGTAAATTTGAAATAACCCTAAAATGTGAGTTTTGCTAGCTGAACTGTCTAAACTTTGATGCCCCATATCTCAGAACAACTCACCTAGATAGGAAATGGTTCACCTAGATAGAACCTTATAATACGTATATTATATAGAAATTCAGCGGCATGAATCCTTGGACCCAACCTGCCTTATATCAAAAGTTCATCCTGGAGGTGGTGGTGGTCTAATGGTGTGGGGAATGTTTTCTAGACACACATTGTGCCCCTTAATACCAATCCCACAGCCTACCTGAGGATGGTTATCAACCACATGCACCATCTTATAATGGCTACTTCCAGCACGATAATGTTCCGTGTCAACTAGTGTTATCTCAGACTAGTTCCATGAGCATGACAGTGAGTTCAGTGTACTGCAGTGGCCTCTCCAGTCACCAGGTCGGAGTCCAGCAGAGCATGTTTGGAACTGAGGCTGTTCCGAGAACAAAGGGGGATCCTACACAATATTAGTATAGTTCCTAATAAAGTTGTCAGTGAGTGTGCATGTGCAATTTTCAAATCTGTATGTAGTGCACTTTAGAGCAAACTGGAGAAATACACTCATGTACTCAGTGCACAAAGTGCTGAGATAGGTGGGGAATAAAAGTATAAAAGCTGATACAGGGCACCATTCTGACCACACGGTACAACTGTCATCTGCTTAATCAGAAAACGTGTAAAATTTTCATTTTATTCAGAATCAGTCACATATAGGACTCGACTCTAGCGGTAATTCTGGTGTAGCGATGTGCTTCAGGTTTGTTTACCTATATATACTGTTTCACTAATATAATGTTTGTAGCCTATGTGAAGAAAAACAAAATGTTCTACTTACTTAGAGGTTAGCCTCAGACTGAGATTGGATCAAAAAACCACACACACACACACACACACACACACACACATTTCACTCTGCCATGTTCGCACGACAGGAAGTGGCAGTGGTTCACAGGGGACAAGTTGAATCACACGCATGCAACAACAGTTCTCAGCAACTGCAACAAAGCTATACTGAATAATTAAAATTCCCACACATTCCACATTTCCTCACCCAGGCATATATTAGAAAAACTCCACATGATGTCACACTAGGATTCTAATATGTAGATTGTTATAATTGCTTTTTGAATGACATACCAGTGCTGATTTGAGACAAACATCACTGCTTATTGAAATCTCAGGCAAGACCACGTCACCTTTCCATGCAGCACATCCAAAAAGACTGTAAGACATGAAGTTATTTGTCATTTATTTGTACATATGTTAAGGACAAACAAAAGCACGATATTATACACATCGTCTAAGCACTCGATTCTGAAATGTCGGAACCCTATAATGTCTGTGAAATGAAATTTATTCACCCTGGTGAACTGAATACTTTTAAATGGCAAGCCTAGGTAATATAATTTCAATGGTTTTTGGATGAGTGCCAAAAACATCTTTGAGATTAGTCACCTAGATATGCCACAAGTGCACAGAAGAGTTATAGGTGTTAAAATTGTTCTCAGAGCAGAGATTGGTCACCTGACTGAACCAACCATGAGCAAACCTGAGATGAACCACAGAATGATAAGCAGCTCATGAAGATCGTAGTGTTGCTGTAGTGATTTGTTTCTTTTCTTTTCTTTTTTTTTTTTCAACTGAGTAACTTGCAATCATAATTTTAACCTCGGTATACACGGACTGTGCTTTATTTCAGTTACACAGTCGGTGAGATTTTGCACTGTAAGATTATTGCTTTACTCTGTACTACGAATGGAAAGCCACTACCAAAGGCCTATTTTACAATGTAGGAGCTTGTATGGTAGTTACATTGTGGAAGCTGCCTCTACCATGTGGTTACATTTCATTGGTTGGTTGTAAGCACCCTTACTAATATTTAAGCAGTAGCAATGACCATAGTTTTGACTGTAACTATTTCAGCTGCCCACTGTTAGCAAACCAACCTGTGTATTCTCAAACATCTTCTATCTTACTTTATATCTAAATAGCATCGCAGAACAAAAAGTGCATAAATAATTAGTGTGTAAAGAATTAAATACAGCAATGGTGTTGTCATACCTCAGACTTATCTTTAAGCTTAACTCACAGCAGTCTTTAAATAACTGGTTTTCAGATGAATGTTGCTAAAGCCTAACAAAATGTAACAGCAAAGCTGCTAGAGTGTAGACCACAATCTTTCTCTGGTTTATTTCTAAACCTTGTAACACTGCTGCAGCTTCATTTTGCTCCTGAGTACTCCACTTGTTTACTTCTATGTAGTTATAAATATATAAGTATATTAAGACAATATACACGAGGTTTATCAGTCTTGCCTTGTAGTGTTATGTGCCTTCCTTCTAAAGCCAACGTGTGAATTGTCCTACAACAATTAAACATGATGTGCAATAATTATGAACAGTGTAATCTGCATGTGTCTTCCGCGGATTCCAGTCCCTTCCTAATCATCCTTGTCCTTGGCGCCGTGCTTTAAGATGCGTGTGAACGCCACGTAATTGAAGTTGCCCTTCTTGTCAATAGGAGCTTCTCGGAAGAGCTCATCCACCTCTTCGTCTGTGAATCTGTCGCCCATGGTGGTCAGGAGCTCCCTGAGGTATTCCTCTTGGATAAAACCTGGAGAAAGTGCGGAGAAAACACTGAACAATTCTTACAGTGGCTTGCACCTTGGACTTTTGGGTGAATATAATTATTCACTTTAGTTACAAATGAAACTCCTAACTGCGTTGGTATTCACGCTTCATTGTACATGGTGAAACTATCAACCTGTCTCATGTAGCAATCTTGAATGATTTGCTGCTCTTCTTCAGTTCTACTACACAGTGGGGGAAAAAAAAAAAAAAAAAAAAGAACTGTGCGAGATTATACTACAAGCCCAGCCTTACTGACTCATTACTATAAACCATTTAAAATGAGCTGGACACTTTTTCAAACATTTACACTGGTGACAGCCCCAAAGCATAAGATCACTATAAAAGGATGAAACGACTCGGTGAAACTGAAAACTCGTCGCATTCACTGTACTGGTTCAGTATGTTTACTTTTATTTTAAAGAATTACCTGTTCCTTCCTCGTCGAAGCAAGCAAAAGCGTTTCTGATGACGTCCTCGGGGTCTGTGCCATTCAGCTTCTCTCCAAACATTGTGAGGAACATGGTGAAGTTGATGGGACCTGGAGCTTCATTCATCATGGCCTCAAGGTATTCATCCGTGGGGTTCTTACCTAATAAAAAACAGGTTTTATCATCAAGGTTAGTTTTTGTTTTTCTTTTCCGATTGCTCCGTTCTTGACTCCCATCTCTCCCCATCACATGCGATGTGTAAATATCTGCTTCCTCTGAGATACGCGATGCCAGCTAACTGCTGCACTCCTAATTAGGAGACCCACCAAGTGCCCTTTTCTGTCTTTCCGAGCTCACCGGTGTGTACTCTTGGCTAACGTCACTTTGTCACATAACAGTAAGAAATGAATTCCATGCCTACAAACCTTAGAAGAGGCTTATTTTATGCTCCCTGGGACCTTGTGTCCGGTATCAGGTCTGCAGCTGTCCTGCAGATTTGGGTTAATGCTGCCATGGGTTCATTTTTTTATCCCCAGGTTTTCACACATTTCACACATTTATACATATATTAAAGCACAGAACAGCAGCCATGCAATGTGGTCTCCTATCTGTAAATCACTGTATGAATATACTATGTTGTGTTACAGTAAACTAGCCAGCTCATTCTTACAAATATCCTTAATTTCTGATTAAATATGTAATAAATCAAGACCATTCTAGGACCTAAATAAAAGAGTTTGAAGCAGGCCATTAGGCATCATGTCACACATTCAGGATTGCCAGGTCTGGGGTAGTCCCAAGTAACTTGTGACTTGCAGGTTATTTTATTTATTAGGGTTTAAGGTTTGGATGTGTTGCCTACATCTGATTAATTATATCGATGTTTTTCAAGTCAATTGTTCCCCCCCCTGTTATGTATATACTGTACATGGGCTGTGATTGTGATTACAGTGTAGTGATTAACAGGGGAAACAGAGTATCAGTAGAAAAAAAAGTTACTCTGGTAAATGTATATGAAATTAAAATACTCATTTTACTTGTTAAAGTGTTGGGTTAGCTATTCTTTATTTATTATAAAATATGTAATAAGAATAGTTGAGAACCTTCCTGAAAGAACTCACTGATCTTCTGTAAGCACTTTATCCTGATGAGGGCTGCAGTGGATCCGGAGCCTATGCTTGGAAAACTGGGAGTGAGGTGGAATATACCTCAGGGCAGGAAAAAGAAACAAAAACAAAAACAAGCTAGGGGCAATTTAGAGTAGCTGAGTAGCCTGTCAAGCTGCTTGTGTGTTTTTGGGATGTGGGAGGAAACCGGAGAACCCGGAGAAAACCCACACAGACATAGAGAGAACATGTAAAACTTCCCACAGACAGTAATCAAGCTCAGGATCGAACCGGGGAGCTGGAGCTGTGGGGCAGAGATGCCACCTGCCATAAAAGATTTAAGAAAACTGCATGGTTTTAACACAACTTCAAAATTAAATGTATTATATGATGTTACTTTAAGGGTATTCTAGTATATTTGGTAACAGTAGTCATGACTTTAATACAGAGTTTTGGAGAGTGGGGTTTTGACATTAGAAGGTCCATCCATCCATCCATCCATCTTCTGTAGAGCTTATCCTACACAGGGTCACGGGGTAATCTGGAGCCTATACCTGGGGACTCGGGGCACAAGGTGGGGGGAAACCCTGGACGTGGTGCTATCCCATCACAAGGCACAATCACACATACTACAGAAAATTTGGAAATGCCAATCAGCCTACAAGGCGTGTCTTTGGACTGGGGGAGGAAACCGGACTACCCGGAGGAAATCCCCGAGGCACGGAGAGAGCATGCAAACTCCGCACACAGGGCGGAGGCGGGATTCGAACCCCGGAGGTGTGAGGCAACAGAGCTAACCACTAACCACCGTGCCACCTCGCCCTGAGATCAGAAGGTGAAGTCCTGGATAATTATCATTCCTATCCTGCCACTGCTGTGTGTCTCATCTTAAACAAGGTCAGCATCTGGGTCACCTAATGAAGCCAGCATGTCATGCAGGTCCTCTTTATCTATGAAGCCATCTCGGTTCTGGTCGATCATATTGAAGGCCTCCTTGAACTCCTGGATCTGTGACTGGTCAAACATGGCAAACACATTGGAAGTGGCCCTCTGAGGACGCTTCTTGCTGCTCTTCACCTTCGCCCTTTTGCTGGACATTTTGCCAGTTCTGTCTTTAAACGCCAAGGAGAAAGGGCTAAAAGAGGGGGAAAGGAAAAAACGAGGGGAAAGGGAATTAAAAACGACATGAGCAGCGTTAGCAAGGGCAGGAGTGAGAAATAAAGAGCGGCCATTTTTCTTACCAAATAACAGATAAAGTAGGATTTATTACACTTCCACCGATTTAGCTACATAGCTAGCAGTGTTCCTGACATCTAGTTTTGAACATTAACTAGTTTTAGGTGTTCATATAAACTGTAAAACGCTATCTTTAACCTTTATTTCAGTACATGCTCTCACATTCGCCTGAAAAGCAAATTAGGTCAAATCCAGCCACCATAGCTAGGGCGACATTACAAAAACAAACGCCCACTGATCTTTAACTCATATACACAGACCATTTACGTACCACAATGCACTGAAGATCAGCGCAGATCTACGCCGAATGCACTAGAGCGAAGTAACTAGCGAGCTATGCTAGGCGCTGAGAAACAGCTATCTGCTTCAAGCCAAACTAGCTAAATGGTTTTGAATAGCTTTAACACTATAACAGAAAAAAAAACGCATTTCGTGTAGGTATATAAACCAAGAAAACCTACCTAGCTAGATATAAAAGAAGAGCCACCAACGAGCCTGCCAAGACTCTGCTGAAAGTCACCCCCTCTAAAATACCAACATGGGACCGTCCAAGCTCTGCGAACAAGACCAGAACATTCCATTATTCACATTTCGGGGGTGGGGGGTGGTGTGGTTAATTTGACTTATCCTAAACTTGACAATAAAAATAATTGTGGATTTCTGTTTCATTCAGTATAAAATTTGTGCTAATATGTCTTGTCGGGGGGAAAAAAGGTGCACACTTTCATATTTAGTGATGAAAATAAGGACAGTGTTCTGGATAAATGAAAGCAAAATCATATCAGTTTAATGAAAACAAAAAACAAACAAAAACAGGAAGAAAAAAAAAACGAAATAGGAACAGATATACCATATGCATTCTGATCTTATAATTCAATTGGATATTATATATTTTAAAAAATAATAAAAATCTGAAGGTGTGCAGAATATTTTGTGTAGTTCCGGTCGGTTGCCATGGATACAGTTTTTACGGTGAACAACAGGAAGTATGAGAAGCCTCTCTGGCTGTCCATTCACCAGTATTTATGCAGAAGATAGTTTAACATTTGGGGGAACGTCTCTCTCACTCTCTCTGCACGTTCAGTCGCTCTGCCTGACAGATATTATCTTGAGATATGAGGAGTGACATATTGCTAATCTCTCTATAGGAGCCATAAACACAAGAGACCATGTTTGTCGGTTACATGAGGACAATGGAAAGAAGAGGAAAGGGTTATCAGGTCTGGAGTGTCTTGATTCGTTGTTCAAAACATTCTAAAAAACGTGAAGTTCCTTGTTAAAACTTTCCCCTCTCTTTACTTAGTTAATTAGAACAGCGCCTCCTGTATATAGTGCAGCTCTGCGGGGAAGATGGGCGGGGCCTACCGACCAAGACCGGAGAAAATGGGAGGGGCTTGTTAGCTCAGAGCGGGGGAGACGGGCGGGGCCTGTTAACCCAGCGCGATACAATGGCTCCGCCCACTTCTCCACAACTAGTGACGTAAGAAGCCATTCAACAACCTGGTGTCCAGGTGCTCAGGAGTGTCTGGCTGATTGTGCTCCTCTCTTTCCTTTCTCAGAGTAAAAGGCCAGGAACACATAACCAAGAGGACAGGACACTGATCCCCACCATTCCAGCACCATCTCAGGGTCAGGACAAATTAATAATATCAATTTTCCTCATATGTATTTTTTTCTTTTTAATTCATTTGAATGTTTCAGTACAGGTGTCTCTTTGCCAAGAATTACTGACAAGGTGGGTTCATTATTATTATTATTATTATTATTATTATTATTATTAAGTGAACTATGTTAATACTATTTGGACTCATTTCAATGTCTTGTTGCACATGTAAAGCAATGCCTTTGAAAAGGGAAGTTGAAATATAATGTAACTGTGATATTGTATATTTGCTACATATATTATTTCATCACCAGTGGACAGATGAAATATTTTTGCTCCAGAGTGTTTAGTGTGTGTAATCGTGCATACAAGTATGTACAGCCATGCACATATAGACAAATACGTGCTAATGCACTATTATATTTTGTCCTAGCAGGATTTCTTAATCACATGCTTAACACGACAAATTGAGTATCTACACATATCTAAAGGATTGAGTGCACCAAAGGTATCAGGTACCAATAGTTTTCTTTAAGGTGTTGTGAATTTTATATTATAACAAGTGAAGGACCTCGGTTTGACAGCCTTTTCAGTTTGACTATCAAATGTAGGAAAGCATCTAATCATCTAAACTTGCATTAAACCTTTTACAGAGAGCTTCATCAGCCAGGAGTGCCGATTTGGTGCACGAGTCAGCCATCTGCTGTGACTGGCCAGAATCCACCAAAGTGTAAGTAGATACGGAGGTCTCTTTTCACCCACCAGAGACACTCCCAGCCAGACGACAAGCATCTCCATTATGGGCGCAAGTGCAGAGTGTTTTGAAATATTAGGCTCATTTTCTCCCAGTAACGTGCAGTGGTGGATGCCTCTTGACTTCCATTTGTCCAACTAACAGAGAGATCTTTACTCATGGGTTTTTGCTTCTCTATCTTGCCTTCCATCTCAAAATGTAAATCTGATGCGTATTAAATAAGTAAGGTACACCATGGGCTCTGACAGGGCTTGGTATTGGGGCCAGCAGGCTTCAACAAAATCCTTCCTTAACCTGTAGTTGAACTGCATGTAGCTCTGCATTATCCTGCAACATTAGACCCCTTGCTTTCTGCACTACTGGGATCTGATGTCAAGTCTGATATGAGTTCCTGTCTGTTGAGGAGAAGTAGCTTCAGGACAGAGATATTTTCTATTTTAGAAAATAGGCTCTTGGAGGATTTTTCAATTAATTATGGTACATTTATTATCTCTTATAGTCTGAGACATCATCGTAAAAACAACCTAAGGATGCTGACACACAGGTGGAAGAGGCTCGGTATCCAGGATCCTGTCAGTGGTAAGAGGAATGACCACACACCTGAGCACAGCCGTAGAAAGAACCAGCTTGCAATGGAAACGGACTCGTTACTGAAAATTACCACCATAAAGGCCAGTCAAGCTGCAGCTCAAAGTGAAAATGGGGAAACAAATGGCTTACACTGTTTAAGTTTGAACATTTCTGGAGTTGGACTTTCAAAGGGGAAAGTAAGTGACAAGCACTCGTCACTTAACATGTCAGGATCATCAGAGTGCCACACTGACAGCGACCTTTCAGATCAAGAGCAGGAAAGCACTGAAATGTCAAAGTGGGCAGCAGCCATGGAATTAGACTTGAAGCCAGAGCCTTTCGACGAGGACCTGGACCTGGACCTGGACCGTCGTTCCACAGAAACAGCATTTTACCCAGAGGTTCTTCCTGCTTCACTCAAAGTCCTGGACTCCACAGAGAGTTTGTCCTCTGAGATACAGCAAAGTCTTTTTGTGTCTGATCCTTGCCTTGCTCCTGTAATAGCACGGCTGACAGAGTTAGAAAGGCTTCAGGCTGCTACTGTGCAGAAAGAACGAGCAAAACTAGCACGATCCCAACCAGCTACTGCTAACACACGAAATGGCAATCGTTTGAGAAAAAGTGACCTTCCAGGATGCAAGACAGGAATTTCAAGGGATGTGGAGTGCAACTCTGTTATGTGTAGTTTTACCAAACTCATGGTTTGTCCCAACTCTTCATGCAGGTGTAGGCTTCATACTTGCCCTTCCACAAAATCAGGCCAAGGAAGCAGGAGCAAGTTGCTACATCCTACCTTGCCTAAACATCCTGACAGTACGTCAGGCAAATGCAAAAAAGCTGAAACTGTGCTCCCAGCTTTCTCTGTTAGTATGAAGGTCCCACAAAAACCCACAGTGCCAAACAGGACCAAGAGTCCAAACACACACAGAGACTCAACGTCTGCCAAAAAGGCAACCGTTCCTAACAGGAAAACCTAATCCTGGTATTCATCGGTGTCGGATGTTTGTCATTTAGCTACTGCAGTGCTGTAAGGTTTTAATGACATCAAGACATAAGTATGTATATCTCTGGTAAAAGGTATTTATTGCTCAAAATATAAACAAAGCACTAGGAAACATGGAAAAAAAATGACCACAGGAGTATTACAACTTTATTTATTCATGGCTTATATTGTCATTATACAAAGTGCATCTATTGAATGAATATGAATGCAGTATTTGAACAGTTCATTTGAAAACTCCTGCTGTCTGTGAATGAGTGAAGAGATGTTGGGCTTCTTTAAAAAGGGATTTCAGCAAAAAGGTGTGTGACTAGTCAGGTTATCCTCCTCGTACGGCTGTATAGTGATCAGAAGAGGAAGGAAATGTCGACTTACCCTAAAATAAAGACAAATTCAGGTTAGTGCTGAGGATCACGTGTAAAGACACGGCTCAGTTTATTAAAAAAAAAAAAAGGGGGGGGGGGTATTACCTTTCAGTTGTTCAATTTGGCTATACCACCAATTTATTACAATGTTTCAGAAAACAATAAAGGACTTCCTATAAATGTAATTCAGCTGAAGTAAAACTATAAGAGACTCTGCAGGTGGCATGGGCTGGCTATTTGGAGGTAGTTATTCCAATTTTATGATGCCCTTTAACCAAAAGCCTACACAGTTCA